GTGCAGTGCGCCCCTTGCCACTACACTACCTCCTCCCATCCTTGCTCCTGTGTATTCTTAATAGACTATATTGTCATCTATGCGTCGTTTATAGACAGTTCTTGTGTTTGGTTCTAGATACTCACTAACTCAACACCTTTTCAACCTAAAAGCCAGGCCAAAGTCATGCTAGCGTTGTGGGATCCTTAGCGACAAGCTCTTCCTTCTTCACCTATCTTCTGAAGATCTTTTCAGAACGAGAGAGTATCTTTTTCGAAGATGGTATTAAGATCGTCGTTAATGCCCTATTTCCTTCCCTTACGCCAACGAGATCCACTGGTTTGCTTGAAGAGTTTCGTGAAGTAAATATGGGGCCTGTTCTCTCTTACATCGCCAGTTTTCAATCTGTTCCATTCCCCTTCCTACCACCTTACCTCAGTCGATGATCAGCGGAAGGGAAATGGGTCATAACTAGGTTCGGAATCTCTAGCTTTGCACAAAATGAGGAACTTCAAGCCCCACCCTTGACTGGGTATTTAAGCTTCAAGACCTGCCCATGAATTTCGATGAATTTTGGCTACGATGATCCGAATATTAGCTCAATTTCATTAGTGAGAAGGCATTTCCGTTTTTTAGTTTTCATTTACCCTATCGGTTACTTTCGCAGTACTGATTATGCTAAATGGAGTCACGAAACAGGATCCGTGAAATAGGGAAGGATCGAGAGCAGCTGACCTTGTTACTTGTACTCGCAATGTTTTACTTTTCAATTTTTCAAAACGTAACTCATTTGTAAGCCCCTCCCTTAACTTTGGCCGTTTAATTTTCCTGTTTCCCTCTCTCAGTGTTCTTCACAGCTCTTCAAATATGCTGTCAATTTGTTAATGTTTCAAGGAGTAATAGGATTAGCCACTTTTTACTTGTATGACAATCCTCATGAAAGCTTTTTTGCGACTCGCCTACTCTAAATACTACTTGTATAATTAGGCAGTAGGCAAGTGGTGGTGTATACATAGGAAGTGTATGATGTGTAGAGACATATAGAAGAGACCCGTTTCGGGTGCGCTAAACCTCCCCTGTACATGTCTGGTTTATATTGCGCGTCATTACTATTAGCTATCCAACGAGCAAACTCAAGTCAGTCTTCTCTACAGCAGCCATTATCTCCACCACCACACCCTAATTGACAAATGGATAACTAGCTGAGCTGTGTGTTCGAGTGTATACAAGTCATTCCGCTAACAGCAGTTACGATCGTATCTTTTCCGCCGATGGTAGGCTACGGCCATCAGCGTGACTCTCCGTAGCTTCCTACCATGGGTCTTGATGGCTCAATATTTCACCTGAGCACGTTCACTTCACAAATTGTAGTACTGAACTTCTATTTTGGATTGTTACAATAGAATTTCAAAGTTTTGTAAATGTTTCTGAACTTCACAATGATTGTTACATTCTTATCGCTTCAGTATGCGTCATTCCATCACACCCTCTCTTCAATTTTTGGTAACGATTGGAAGGTCCTGAACGAACTAGTACTTGCTTTCTAGACGAACTAGGCCGGCTCTTTGATCCACAGAAAATTCAACATCTTGGAAAGATTTAATTAGATGCTGCAATTTTTTTAATGCTTGGTAATGTTAATGTTTTAAATGACTAAATCTACAAATAATTAAATAAATATGACTTTGAAGCTTGTCATCGGCAAGCATTCAAAGCCTAAGCATGAAAAATAAAAAAAAACGGGACTGACCAGCATTAACGGTAATAGCTGTAGCCTGAGCCCTTTAAAATAATGTCAGCTTCAAATGAAACTTTCAGATTACTCAGCAGTCACTTTTGAAATATCATTGTCTGTTATTTGTAGGATGTCATATTTCCATTTCTTCCAGTAACTCTTCAGAAGCAAACTTCTTGCGGTGAGGAACTCGTGTACATTCAAAACTAGCTATCGCCTATAAAAAAAATCAAAGCTTTTGTGTCGTACCGGTTATTTTTAATAATAGTATTATTAAACAAGCTCTTACAGCATGGGATGTAAAAGGCAGAACTGAAGGGAAATGGCGAGATTCATTGAGAGTCGAACACGTGGAGAAACTCCTATAACATTTACATTGCCGATGAATTTTTCCACTCAATAAATTTTACAGAATCAAAAAATTCTTTATGATTTTAGTAAGCTACCATTTTTATACAAAACTTCATTTCATGACTATTTTCTACATCGATCACAAAGACTAGCCAAATCGTCAGTACTACGTACACTGTTTCCGTTTAATGATCCCTAGGGACTGACCGATGATTATTATCTTTTGTTATCTATTTGGGTGTGCCCTCAAGCGGGAGCGTAATAATAATGCGACAGTCCAGAAATTTCCAAAAATTAATAGTCTAATAATTGATAATAAATCATAATCAGGAAATATTTCAATCCGTCCTAAATCCTCGCTTCACATGTTGTAGGAGAAGGAATATGTGGTCAATTTCAGCTAGTCATTTTTTTTGTGGGATTTATGTACTTTTGATATTTCCCTCGCTGGCCTTCAGAATTTTTTTAGATTTCTTTCTCATGTATTATTATACATAAATTTTATTAATTTGCTCGCTTACCGAAGAGAAACACTGTAAGAAAGAAGGATCCCCGAAACTTTGATTCAATAGCTCTCTGTCTTTACTGCAAAGCTAGTCAAAAGGTCCGTGGAATAGAACTGTGAAGCTAACGTTTCATCGTATCTCCTTTACGTACTGAGTACCCTTAAATACTAGTAATCA